GTAGAAAATGACTACTTAACTAGCATGCATTTTTCATATTGATTTTCGATGGTCTTATAAATTCAAATATATTTTACAGAAACCATGCCAAAATATGCTTTATTTTGCTCATTTGGAAGGAAATCACATCGTTTTTATATTTTATGCCCGAAGAAAGTGTATATTTAGGTTTTAAAAAAGTTACTAGTTATGAGATTTTAAGACCGTGCGATGTCCATGCACTCATGACCGCACATGCTCGTTTAATAATGCTCCTCAAGAAATGTTCAAAACAGTCCGGATTCATTGAAAAATTTTACGAACTCTATGTGGTGTCTTCTTGAAGACATAGAGAAATATATGATTTTATTTACGCGGAAAGCGAACACCTTGTAGACTTAAATTGCTAAACGCTGATGCAATGACAGTTCAGGCTGAAAATTATTCGTGAAATGGGAAACTTTTTAAAGACCTAAATATAAACTGCCTTCGGACATGAAATATAAAGACAGTGTGATTTCCTTTCAAATGAGCAAAAGAAAGCATATATTTGGCGTGGTTTCTGTAAAATATATTTGGATTTATAAGACCATCGAAAATCAATACGAAAAATGCATGCTATTTAAGAAGTCATTTTTTACAGAGTGTGGTTTCTGCAGGAGGTCCAAAGGAAATACATTCAAAATCCGAAATCTTGATGAGATCAAAATGTTATAGGCATATGTTGCATGATAATCGGTATGACAACCCCATTTCAGTAATACTTCCTAATAGGAAACGCATTCCAGAATTTTGGCAACATTTCATGTGATCGGTCATGCAAATTATCTTAAAATCAGGTTATTAGGTTCAGCAGAATTAAAATCTAAATTGGGTGGCAGTATACCTGGGATGATATTCTCGTGGAGTTTTAATAACGCGATGTCGTAGCCCTTTCCAAGGATTGTGTCGTTGTAATGAGGATGAACCATTGCATAGTGCACCAGACGCAGCTGATAAGCGGTATCCTCTCTCGTGAAGTCATGAGTGCCGACAAGCACATGAAACCGAACCCCCGACGCAGCTTCTATGTCGGTTAACTTCCCCAGTGGGAACTTATGAAGTCCAGGGCTAGAAAATATACAATGCGCCGCAGTAACTATAAGAAAGTTGCTGATTAGCGTTCCTCCACAGTAGGGACGACCTCCCAGCCGCGTAGTCCACAGTCCCACCTTGAAGAATTAAAAAAATCTGGTGTACACTCCAAGAACTGCAATTGTAGTCCAAGAGACTAATCGTCTTAAGTAGTCGGTAGAGATACTGTACTAATTGTACTAACGGATGTCCATCTTGTAAGGGCTTTGGGAGACTTTGTACTAGTAAGGTATCGTAACAAAAAAGCTATCATTTGTCTCAGACTATATTCAATATGATTCCCTATGAATTAGGTGAATCGCCTTGTTGAATGCTAAATGATGTATTGTCTTGTTTTTGTCATACAAAAATATTGTTTTGAACCCCGTAGTTGCAGTCAGACAAACACAATATCTCTCTTTAGGATACAATCAATTTGTTTTTTTCATTATCTTTTCCATGCCATTATAAATAAAATATCAGGCAGGCACTTACATGCCAAGGCCAGCTGTGGGGCGTTGCGCGGGTTTTCATTTTCTGGGCCTCCGCCTTGTGTTCCCGTTGGACGGTCGGATTACCACACACAATTGGAAACCCAGGCTCAGTTTCGATAGCTTTCGCGAATCGCAATAAAAAATCAGAATTCACGTGCTTACGCATTTATGGTATTAGTAAGGCATGTAATCAAGGCGATATTAAAAGTCATAGAGTTCTGTTAACTGTGTTGAATTATTAAAGGACGGAGCGGTTAATTCATAAAGCCAATTCTTCTGTAAAAAAGTAGGATTTGCGGTTTTTCCCTGTTTGGAAGCGGCGGTTGGTTAATTTTGTGTCAGCAAAGGACGATGAGCCGCGTAATTCAGAGGCGGGTTCTTAATAAGTCATATTTTTCATCATGTCTTCTTTTGCAGACTAAGGTAATTAAAACGAAGTGCATTTAATTGGAAAATTTTATCTTTCAAAAGCATTTACTGAGCGTCATCTGATTCGATTAAATGGTCATCTGTAGCTCACAAAGAGGGTGCCCGCTACGCCTTTCTTGTATCGGTCAAAGAGACTTTCAACTACGAACTGTTAGTGGCCGTTTCGGAATCCCACGTTTCTAGTCGCCGAATCTTAAGCGGTAAAGTCGCCTTCCACATGAGACCCTTGTACCTTTTAGTTCCGCGTCAAACGTCACGTTGATTTTTATGAATCTTATAGTTGAGGAATTTAATTTTCCTTAAAAATAAAGTGGATAATCGTCGTGGACACGCCAAAATCATCAAATTGCTGGGGTGTTCTGGCCCAGAACATACTTTACTTATGGCGGAAAATTTGTCGGCCAGACAAAAAGCGTATCGATGGAAGTATGGACGAGGTGGTACTGCGACAGCTGGAGTCGCCGATCATCCAACGAGATACGTCAACATTTTAGCCACAGTATGCCAATAATATATTTCCCTTCAACCTTCATTTTAAAGTCTTACTACTAGCAATTCCATTAATGATGAAAGATGATGAAAACAATTATAACACAAAGAAGTCGTGTTAGTCTCCATCAACTTTTTCATCCAAATAGTTTCCTAGAACTACATTCTGTACACTTTCCAAGTAAAGTCCGAATAGGCAGGCAAACTATCATCGAATATACACAACAGGCAAGGTAAAATTTTAACCAGATGTGATTTAACAGATTAAAATGCACAGACCGTTTGCGGCGGCGCCAAGCAGAATGTAATGAAGCATTGTAGCGCGACAGTACTTCATGTTCGAACGGTAGGTACTAGAAGCCTGGTTTAAGTGGTGAGACCTTATTGCAGTATATAAAGTGCAATATATTCCCATTTAGTCACTTGTTTTCAAAAACAAAAAATCTAGTCGTGTGAGGACTTTTTCAACTGCGATGTTTACGCATAGATTGTGTATCTCCGAATGTGTGCTCGAAACACGGTATGCAAGTACACCTCGGGGGCAGGGTTCTAGCTGTCTGCAAAGCGCGCAGTCGTGGTGTTTGGGGTAAGGACGTAAGAACTTCACTCCTTTTCTGCTAATAGGAAAACCCAAGATAACTCCACTCCAAGAATAAAAAATGCTCAGAAAACTGGCCCTTTGGAAAGCATCATATTTTCTCAAGGCCATCACAATACGCGTAGTAATGCTTGCACAAAAGACACGTAGTTGCGGAAAGTTGAATCTAAAGAGGTTATTTATATTTTGTAAAAAGTGCCGTTGGCACAGACTGTGCTGAATAGCAAAGTACGTTCACTTCATCTCAAGAACAAAAGCGTGCTTAACAACTATCCAGAGAGCATCGAGCGAGGATCTGCCCAATCAGCGTTCGTGTCACTTAATCCATATGTGTAAAGTACCAATAAAGTCATTAATATTTTCAGCTGTCTACATGTCATGCAGGCAGGTCAGACGGCACTAGGACCAACAGTGGTAACTTTGCTGTTGTCTCTGACGATGGATTCGAGCAGGAATCCGAAACGTCAGGCTAATAAAGCTCTTGTCCCAGCCATTGTGTCTCCTTCTTCAAGAATACTTCCTGGGACAAGTCTCTTCGCTTCTATTGGCAGTGGTAACATGTTGTTGTTTTCCTTTTATCCAAATTTGGTGCTTAGGGCAAATTCTTTCAGAAATCACGAACCGGATCTGGCTAGCAAACTCCTGAAGACTGTAATCGTGTGCATTTAGAGATATGAGGATAAACAGATAACTTGAACTGAAAACACATACGAAACGTGAATGCTTAAAGTCTTCAGAGGGAGATGCATGAAAAGCGACCGTATATCATTCTAAATTTCGTAGAGTTTGATTTTTAGCACTATAAAATTTGGGTTGGTGGTTAGATATGCTTGAATTTAAGATTACTGGCTAATATTTCCGAAGCTGACTCTGATGCGTCAGCGAGAACAAGAAAACTTATGGAATCCGGTTAAACGTAAGGTCACACCTGCAGGGATCATAGAACTAGACTGCCTGGAAGTGACGATCGTCTTAGCATAACAGCAATTCCAAGTGTAAGAATGTTTCATTTGAATGAGCAAACGCAGTACGTAGAGGCAGCTGACTCAGGTGTATACTAAAATACAAACAAATAAGTTGGACTTTGTGTACCTCGATATCTAACATGACAAATAATTAATTTTAAAGGATTAAAGCGTACTTGAAGAAGGAGACACGATTGCTGGGACAAGAGCTTTAGTAGCCTGACGTTTCGGATTCCTGCTCGAATTCATCATTAGAGACAACAGCAGATACGGGTGATTCACGCACAAGGAGTTGCAGTATTTATAGGATGCAGTCGCCATGCTACCGCATACCTATGAATATTCCCGGCTCCCCCTCGGACGGGTATTGAAAACCAATGGCTACCCGCGCAACTTTCTCAACCTGTGCAGACACAAAAGGGACGAAAGGCAAAACCGCATGGACCCCAAATTTTGGCGAGCGCTTCCGTATGTCAAGACAGTTTCGGAAGCTGTCGGCCGCCATCTCGCACTACTTGGGGTTAAAATAGCACACAGACCGGTGGCAACCATCAGACGTCAGGTAATGAAACCGAAAGACCCAGTGCCACGGCAAGAAACGTCTGGAGTCGTTTATCGGATCTGGTGCAGTTGCGGACAAGGCAGCTACGTCGGAGAAACCGGAAGACAGCACCGAAAGAGAATGGCCGAACACGCTGCAGCGGTGCGGAGAAATGACACCAGCTCTCAAAATGCTGCTCATTCGACGGGTTTCGGCCAAAAATTCAAATTCGACGAGGCCGAAATTCTCGCAAGAGGTGACAACCGCGTGAGCCGGGATCTATCTGAACCATGATTTACTGCCCCCAGTCCATTACCAAGTGCAATGACCTTCCCTTTCCATACTCGGTGCTGAGACTTCGCCTAGGCGGAGTAATTAGCCACGCGGGGAGCGCACAGGTGAACACTTTTCCCAACACCAGGGTCGGTGCGTCAGGTGGTCGAGCAATCATCACACCAACATCCAACGCACGTGATGAAATTGAGCAATTAACGACGGGAATGTTGGCCATCAAACAATTAGCGCATCAAGTGCGGCGATCCCGGATGAAAGGGGGCAGACGTGAATTTTCGTGGGTAAGAGGTAGCATGGTGACTGCGTCCCGTAAATACTGCAACCCCTTGTTCATGAATCGCCCGTATCTGCTGTTGTCTCTGATGATGAATTCGAGCAGCAATCCGAAACGTCAGGCTACTAAAGCTCTTGTCCCAGCGATCGCGCCTCCTTCTTCAAGACTTTTTCATGGGACTCGTCTCTTCGCTTCTATTGGCAACTTAAAGCTTACGTTGTAAGTGTTACTCAGAATGGGGACTGCGAATATCGCAGTCCGCACCGTTTAATGGGCGGTTGAATCGAAAAAGTTACTTGACCTCCAGAGGGAGAAGTTTTCGTTCAGCCATAGGACACAAAGTTGGACAGAAACTCCAGACCCGCCACATTCTGTGGGTTTTCTGGAAATTCACATTTTGATGGCCGGAATGTTCCCGAGGTAGCAATAGACGCTTTTAGGGCGTTTCATCTACTAGGCCACATCAAGGCCAAAAAGCTCGATTCTAGAAGGGCAGTTCCTTCGTCGTGAGGTCTTTTGCTTACTCATACGTTTCATGAATTTTCTGGCGAGCACACTGCGCCGACTGCGACTTGTACCTATAACCTGATGAATTGGAGGACCAATAATTTCGGAGAGCCTTTGATCTTGCGGTCGACAGGAAAGATATCTTCGGCTTTGCAATATTCACAGGATCCGAATAGACAGAACAATCGTTATAAAGCGTTATGGAGTTTTTAGGGCTGCAAAATACCACACACGCAGCACAAGCACTAACTAAACGCCCAGACAGGCGTGTTTTCCCAATATTCTGCCGTTGCTTGGCACAGCTGCGAGGGATTCGGATCATCAGTGAGTTCCCCAGCATTTCTCGTCTGAATTCTGATAGAAACACCAACAGTGAGACTTTTGCTTCTTTATTTCCCCAGAATTAAACCGTGAACTTTGAGTATCTCAGTATATACTTGGGTCTGTGGGCGAAGACCGAAAACTTATGTTTGAATATCAGTGGTCCACTGTATCCTTAATCGACGGGCAAAAAGACCATGTACCCTAGGTCGCGAGCATTTGTTCTTCGGCAGACGACAACTTGAATCTTACCCGTGGGCCTGCATAACACATGAAGCCTTGTCCGTAAAGCAATTGAACGTTCGCAACGCAGGAGGCGTTTCTCGCAGACAAATAACCACATTCCACATAGCCGAATAAACATTCACGTGCAGTAGGTGGGCTTACTCATGAAATGTCGACCAAAATTCCGAAACGCGTTTTCGTTTCGAAAGGATTAATCAAGTAGGGTTGTAAAACTAGTCAGTCCGCAACATAATTCTATAGTATTTCAGTTACCTCAGGATGACGTCTTTTAATTGAACTTCCCTCCGGTTGCATGCAGAAACTGTACTCTGTAAAAACGACTATTAAAGTAGCATGAATTTGTCTCATTGGTTTTTAGTCCATCACAAGCTCTGCGACATACGGGGACGTCCAGTAAGGCCAGCTACTTTTGTCCCTGATGATGGGTTCGAGCAGGAATCCGAAACGTCAGGTTAATAAAGCTATTGTCCTAACGATCGTGTCTCCTTCTTCAAGTTTCATGTTTATCGGATATGCGGGTTCAGATCGATGTCGAGTAGCATAGCTTGCGTTCAGACCATAATCAGGGTGCGGTAAAGAGTATGATGTTACCCCTAAGCTTGAATAATTATGAAGAGAAAGACTGGTTGGGAACCGGAATAGTCTTTTTATTGTTCTGAGGAGTCTATCGTCAGAGGAAGTAAGAATAAAATAAGGACAGACGATTACATGACGTGTTAGCCAATCATAGATCGATGCCTCAGAGCTGGGCATGGCCGCGCAGTGCTCTGTACGCCGGAGCCAGTTCGATAAATTAACTGACTGAGCTCCCTATCAGTTATCTGCCTGCTTTATTTCCAACGTGTACGTTGGATTATCGCGTTTCGATATTTCAATCATGTTAGACTCAGTAGAATACCTTCGCTGACTCATAGCATAAGATCTGTTGGTTGTGTAATAGTATATTTATTGGTATCTCGGCCAGCTGTCATTTTTCCTCAGGTGAATCGTATACCCCTGAATTTCTGCAGTCGTTGACTACTCCACTGCAATGTACTGGACTATTACTTGCACAAATTCTTGTCGGTCTCAGCCCATGCATGTCGGTGCGACGTGTCTTAAACCCACGACTTCCAGTAATCTCAGCGTAAGTAAGAGATACTGGTACCCCTGTTAACTGCCCAAGCAAGCAGAACTCACCAACTTATCGTTATGTCATTTAGCGAATTGCGAGTTTTCGCCTAAAACAATTCCTACAGGCGGCCCCTTCTGAACAACGACGTTTCACCGTCTAGGGCTGATAATTCGCAGTAGAATACAAGGCCTAAATATAGCATTTAGGTCTACACGACTAAAGCTACGGTTCGTAGCGCCATCCGAGCACACATGTCTCCCAAAATTTATCAGCCAACGCCTTGACCAAGCTTCCTATGAGCTTGACTTCGTGTTTCAGAGGTTTCTTCAGCAAGATGAATGGAAGATGCCAATCGAAGTTGCGTAATTCTGGAATCTAGAAGTGAGTTTAGTTAAGTTGGTTTCAAATAGTTTTATTTAAAATAAACGTTTGTATCTGACTTTGGACTCCTTTCTAAATGTAGATGAAATCTCGTGCATCACTTGAGAGTGCGATGATATGGTCAAAATAATGCCAAATAACACAGGAAAGCTAGTTGGGGGACTTTGTTTACATGAATTTGAATTATCACATTAATCTAATTTCGAGGGACGATTGATGACAGCACCTTGCAGCGCACTGCGCAGTGATAAATCGACTTGCTTCTGTTGTCAAAGGGGTCCACGAAGAAAAAATACAAAAAATCCTCAAAGGTAAGGTGAGACAACAAGTTTTACTGCTGGGCCGATGTATTCAACAGTTTTTAACTGCCGAAATGACCCCCAAATGCAAATATCGCTCTCGGGATAGGCCATTGCGCATGCTAGTCCACTGAGCTGCTTAAGTAAGTAAAGTTCAAAATGAAACCTCACCGAATATGCGCATTAGAGAACCATATAATTAGGCACTTTTGCGGAAAAATAAATGTACAGTGAGTGACCGATCTCAAGAAAAGTGAACTGAAATTCTGAAATGCGTTTTCGAGTAGGAAGGATTACTTCGGCAGGGTTGTAATGCTCATTACCTTGCGTCATAATCCTATAATATTTCCGACACAGAAGGATGTCAGCTTTTGAATACATCGCTTGATCTCCTGTAGAAACAGTATTTGGTAAAAAATGGATGTTTAATTAGCATGCATTTTTCCCATTGATTTTCGAGGGTCTTTCAAACTCAAATATACCTTATAGAAAACATGAGCGAAAATATGCTTTTTTCAGTCATTTGATAGAGAATTACGTCTTTTTCTATTTTATACTGATGAAAGGAGTATAACTATGTTTTAGAAAAGTTTCAAATTATTAGATTTTTTAAGACCGCGCAATATCCTTTCACACAGCATCGTACCTGTCCGTTTGCCACTGCTCCTAATGAAATTTACAACATAGTCCGCATCAATTGCAAAATTTTATGGAATCCATATGATATGTTCATAAAGGCATTGAAGAATATATGATTTTCTTTACGCGGAACTCATGTACCTTGTAGACTGAAATCACTAAGCTCTAATGCAGCGAATGATCAGGCTCCAAATTATTTGACAATTAGAAAACTTTTTAAAACCTGATCACACTACTTCAGTATCAGTATCAGTATATTTCAGGGAAAGTGGGTGTGTACCTTTGAAATCCCTATTGGTTACATGCAGAGGATATATATGGAGGAAAAGGAAACGAAGTAATATGAAAGAAATGCGAGGGAAATAGCAAAAACTGTACAGATGAACACAGAATGCCATGCGTTAACAGAATTTAGAGGCACATTAACTTGCCTTGTTGATCAAATACAGCGGACAGTTGAGGCACTCTTAAGATACGGGAAAAGAAGTAAAATTGTTTAGTCTACAGGCATCGTGGTGAATGCGAGCAGCGGTGTGCGACGTGAGCCAATCTTAATAAATTACATAAACATATATTACTTAAGTGTTGGTAGTAGCATCGTTATAACACTAAATTGTCAGCGTTGGTTGTCAAGGTGGCCGTAGTCCGGCGTTATTGTGGTGTGCGCTACAATGCTGATCTAGCCTCCGTTTAAAAGAATCTACGGAGCTCGACATAACAACATCCTCAGGTAAGGCATTCCAAGCTGCAACCACTCTGTTGGGGAAGAAGAACTTTCGGGTGTCTAGCCGGGCACCAGCCACACGCAGTTTGAGTGGATGGCCTCTCAGGTTAGTCGTAGTCGCCAACTCGAAGAAGTCTCCAAACGCGAGGCAGCAGCCCTGATTGCGCACGATGGGGAAAGCTTATATCAGGTCCCCACGTAGCTGTCTGTAACTCAAAGGAAAGAGGTCAAGATTAGTTAATCGTGTTTCGTAGGGTAGTGACCACTGTCCAGATACAAGTTTCGTTGCTCGCCGTTGAACTTTTTCAAGTATGCCCAAGTCTTTAGCGGTCCAGGGTCTCCATGCTTGGATAGCAAACTCCAGGTGAGGCCGCACGACAGTTTTAAAGACCTTGGCGAAGCAGTCTTCATCAAAGGAGGAGAACGCCCGTTTGACGAGGTAAAAAATGGACATCGCCGACTTGGCTACCTTTGAGCATTGCAGTGAAGGCTTAAGCGAGGTTGTGATCAATACACCCAAGTCCTTCTGGGCGTCGACTTCTTGCAGTGGTTTGCCAGTCAGACGGTAGACCGTGTGGTTAGGAGAACTGGTTCGGCCGACGTGTAGGAAATTACACTTGTTTACGTTGAACGGTAGAAGCCAGTCTTTCGACCATTGCTCGAGATGGTCCAGATTTGTCTGCAGTCGCGCCTCGTCAACTTCGCTTCGTATGGTACTCCAGATCTTTATGTCATCGGCAAACATTGCGATATCGCATTTCAGTTCGTTTGCGCAGTCATTGACGTATATGAGGAACAGTGTAGGGCAAAGAACAGAGCCTTGGGGAACACCACTCTTAAAGGCAACCTCGGCAGATTGTTGGTCACTGACGTGGACGGCTTGAGAGCGGCCGACTAAAAAGCTCCGAATCCACATCAGAAGCTTACCTCGCACTCCTGCACGGCAAAGTTTGTATAGAAGGCGGTGGTGAGACACACTATCGAAGGCCTTTTTAAAGTCGATATAGATGGTATGCACCATATCTCCTCTATCAACAGCCCTAGTCCAGCGTTCCAGACAGTAGAGCAGGTTTGTCACACAGGATCTGCTTTTGCGGAATCTATGCTGAGAATCGGAAAGCAAATGGTTTTGTTCAAGGAACTGCATTTGTTGTTGCTTTATTATCTTCTCCATAATCTTGCAGCAAATGGAGGTGAGGCTGACAGGTCTGAAATTGTTCGCAGAGACCCGACTTCCGCCCTTGTACAGCGGCGTAATCCACGCCGACTTCCAGTCGGGTGGCAGATATCCGGTCTCGAAGGATGTATGGAAAAGCATGGAGAGTGGCTTAGACAACTCCTTGAGTATAAAATATAAACAAGACGTAATTCTTTGTCAAAAAACTGAAAAAAAGCCTATTTTCGTTTAAGGTTTCTATAAGATATATTTGAATTTTTAAGAACATCGAAAAGCAATTGAAAAATGCATGATAATTAAGTAGCCATTTTTACCAAGTACGGTTACCACAGGATGGCATGTTACTTTTATCTGATGGGTTTTTCAGCTGTTATTCGAGCAGCTTAGATATGCTTTTAACATATGGAAGGGTTAGCGAGGGGGATGTATGTGGTGCCTGGGCGGCCGTAATGTTTGGAAAATGTTTGGAACTCTTTATGTTTCGTGCCCTGATGCGCAACGTTGCACGGGTGCGCATCTAGTTTCGACACATGCGTGATGCTCATTCGCATACTTTCGAATACCTGAATAAGAAGTCGGCCGAGGCGAAACTGCATATACTAATATTAATAATTTGGCCGAAGTTCACCAGCCACAGCGGAATAACCACGTAATGTTTTTTTAAACTTGCCAACAGGCAGCCAGCAGTGCAGTCACCATACTTGAGAGAATGTCAGCGAGACACCTGTGTCGGCTTTTAGCTGGTAACGACGTCGAGATTACGATAAAGCTATTGCCATATACAGTGACTTACCTAACTCATGAAATGTTGGCTAAAATTCTGAAATGCGTTTTCAATTAGGAAGGATTACTTGGTCGCGTTTGCAATACTGACTATCTTGCGGCATACCCTTATAACATTTCGGACTCGCCAGGATGTCGGCTTTTAAATGCACTGCTTTTCAATCTCTTATAGAAAGCGTACTCGGTAAAAAATGACTACTTAATAAGCATGCATTTTTCCCATTGATGTTCGATGGTCTTGTTAATTCAAATACATTTTATAGAAACCACAAAGAAAAATATGCTTTCTTTTAGTCAATCAATAGAGAATCACGTCTTCTTTATTTTTAATACTTAAGGAAAGAGCATAATTAGATTTTAAAAAAGTTTTCCAATTGCCGAATAATTTGGAGCCTGATCATTCGATGCATTAGCGCTTAGTGATTGCAGTCTGCAAGGTGCATGCGTTCCGCGTAAAAAAATCACATATTTTTCTATGCCATTAAAGAGATATCATACAGAGTCCATAAAATTTTGCAATGGATGCGGACCATGTTGTTCATTTCGTGAGAAGCAGTGGTAAACGTCCAGGTACTATGCCATGTGAATTGACATTTCGCGGTCTTCAAAAATTCCATAATTATAAACTTTTAACACCTAATTATACTCTTTCCTTAGGTATGAAATATAAAGAAGACGTAATTCTCTATTGATTGACTGAAATAAAGCATATTTTTATTTATGGATTCTATAAAATATCTTTGAATTTGCAAGACCATCGAAAATCAATGGGAAAAATGCTTGCTACTTAAGTAGTCATTTTTTACCGAGCACGCTTTCTATAGGAGATTGTGAAGAAGTGCATTTAAAAGCCGACATCCTGCCGAGTCCAAAATGTTATAAGAGTATGCCTTAAGATTATTAGTATCACAACCACGACAAAGTAATCCTTCCCAATCGAAAACGCATTTCAGAATTTTAGCCAACATTTCATGAGATAGGTCACTCACTGTATATGTCGCGGTCGTTGGATGGTAACGCCAGCGTGCCTAACGATCCAATTTGAACAAAAAATTGAGCGGGAAGATTTATCGAAGCTTGTTGTTCCGATACCGGCAGTATTAGACGTCATGTTGACCTCGAGGGTCTACGAATTCGTCCGTCTAACCATCACCCATATCCCAAATCGAAGACACCTAACCCAGCCGTCTGTAGTTCCTCTGATCCCCTAGCTCGCCACACTCCGACAACAAAGTCCTGACCACGCCTTCCTTCTTAAAGATGACCACGTTCAGTCTGCTCCTGCCTCTCTCATGTGACAGCGGTCTGCTGATATAGTCAGTATGACCAGAAACGCTGTAATGCGTTGATCCCACTTCCTTATCGGTTCATTTTAGCTGACAAGATTTTGGTGTCAGAAAGTTGAAAATGCTCCAGCAGCAGTCGATTTCTTTCCGAAAAACTAACTTCATACAGTCTCTGCGGCACGACATACTTTGGACGCCATGTGCTCATTCTTAGCGGCTGGTGAAAGACATTTACGCGGAGAGAGTCGACGGTCTTTAATCAACTGCTATTCTTCTGTCGCTGTCACAATCCCGACGTCTAACCAAAAACATTCCACCTCACACTGACAATTCGCGTGCAAATATACAGGGCAAATTCAGAGTGTCGTTATAGTCTACAAAGTTTCGGCGCAGAAAACGTCGACTATAGAAATTTGGAGAATTTTTGACTTGTATGCAAACTAATTCGAGGATGAGTTGCGCGGACAGATCAAATGAGCGCCAATCTCCAGGGGAAACTACAGTCTTTTTCTTGGCACACTATTTTAAAAAGCATAACTACGAGAGTTTATAACCTTTCGAAAAGTAAGTGTATACCTGCGGATAGCGGTTTCCCATTTAGGGGAATAAGATCCAATCATGAGGATGTTGCGTGCACAAAACAACTTGGCTGGTCTTAAATCTACTAAACGGATATGGCGCCTTTCAGAAAACGCGCAAACAGGCATGCACAGCTGAACTGTTGGAATCCTGCCTCAAAAAGGTTTCAGACAAGACCATGTGCCGAAGAAGCGTAAGGATTACTATTCCGGTGATTCGATCATAGTTTTACTGTCGTTACCGATTACAAAGATGACACTGCCGTCATATTGGACGAGTTCACTACTCTTCTTGTTCATTTAGTACAACAGAAGGTTGGTGCTGTCAACGTGAAGATTCTCCAGTACAACTTGATTTTTTGCACATTTCATCAAGGTTTCACGGAATGAACGCCACCTTTATTATTCAACATATTTCTTGGCGTTAGAAACGTATTCACAGCAGGGGTTGAGATAAATGCGTACAGAAGTAGGCGAATACATACAAACAGCAAAATTTTCTTCACCGCTGTCACGATTATGTTATCCTACGGAAGTCTCTTCGATTTAAGAACACTTTGCAGAATGAGACTGAAAGACTGCTCGCGGGGGTCTCGATTGTTATGATATTCGACGTCCAGGATCGTCTCTGTCTCTTCGAATCGACAGCTTTTAGCCTTAGATGCTAGCGCGTTTCATGTGTAACCTAAAAGTTTTTGGAGACTTACTTTAGCATATGAAGGCTGTCATCAGTGGCGTTAGAATTAAGGAACGAGCCGATTTACAAGAGAACTTCCAATTCCTTCTCCCTTCTATGAACGATTGCATCATGTCTACGAGGGTCGTAAATCATCCTCAAGTAAACTGAACTTTCGCTGAAATGAAATTCCTATTTAAAGAAATAAAATTCGGCCATCCCGTTGCTGCACCAGTTAAACTTCCTAGCTAGCCTTGAATGTCTCCTCCTGAAACCTGCCGTTCCTGGAGAGATGCGTGCGGGGATACGCAGCTGCGTCAGTGGTCTCCTTCGACAAAGAAATCATTACCATACATTACCAATCGACAAAGTAAAGCGGTTGCGATCGTTGAAGACGGATGACAGTGTAGTTATTGTGTGTGTGCTGACAAAGACGGCTCAGGCGTCATTAGGAAAAGACTGCATTCGCAAGGAGGGCAAACTATGTCTTCTCTGTCAGAGAAGCCTACATCGTGCTCATTGAATCGCCGAAGAAACGGGTCAAAACGGTCACAAAAACAAACATCCTTGCTTGTCTGAAAGTTATGGTTCCAGACCACTCTGGGAATGTGGCACTTGTCGTGTCGCGCACACACATATGGCGCAGAGAGCAAATGCACCAATAAGAATTAAAGTGTCACCCATTAGATCAGTTTCATTTTCAGTTTATTAAGGAAAATATATGCGGGCGCCTTTGAACTCCCTATTGGTTACAAGTTGTCGGATAAAAACATTGATAAGTGGGAAGGTGAAAAAGGGATTTTGTACATAACCGCGGACAGATGACAGCTAGTCGAAGAAGAGTAATAATTAACGGTTACTTACTAATTACAAGTAGTATAAATACGTATGTGGTACCGGGTTATGTGAGTGGGTGTGAGGGTGGTAATCGGGAAGCTTGATGCGTGTCAAGTCTACACTTAAAGGAATTTACATAGGAGGAGATTGCAACATCGGTAGGCAGGGCATTCCAAGCTGCAACCACTCTGTTATTGAAAAAGAACTTTCGTCCATTGATCCTTACTTTCCATGCGCGTAGTTTTAAGGGACGACCTCGCAAAGTGGGCGTGTTAGCTTAAGTGAAATAATCAGTGGGATCTAAACAACAGTCTAGGCCGTTGATAATGCGAAATGTTAGTATAAGATCACCATGTAATTGCCTGTAGGAAAGGGGAAACAGGCTGAGAATTGACAGTCTGGTTTTATAGGGCAGTGCTCCCAGATCTTTTGTCATGTTTGTCGCCCGTCTCTGGACCTTCTCAAAGACGGTATAGTCCTTGACAGTCTAAGGCCTCCACGCCTATATGGCGTATTCTAGCATCCTTGATTGTTTGAAAGTTATAGAATATGGTCTTTGTCTTGTCGCGCAAACTTGTCTTGTGGCGCAGAGAGAAAATGTCCCAATAAGAATTAAAGTGCCACTCATTGAATTACTTTATCAAACTGTTACCAAGCGGTTTAACAGGCATTGAAAACCCTCAGCCATTCTTCCGAATGATGAAAGATTAAAAAGTGAGTCCACATGAAGCTACCCCATCTTCCGAGATCGTTGCTTTCTTACGCTCATTGTCATATGATGTGAAATTACAAAAACAAATGCTCCTGATTTTAAAACGCAGTTTACAAACGCTCAAACCATGTCTTTAGAACTACTGTGGGTTTTATGGAACGGGATGGAGCAAGATTCTAAACCTCACAAGTGAGTATCACGCGATGTCTCCCTTTACAGGCGTATTTGCCTCAATTCAGAGGGTACAAGACAGACGGACGATTGATAAAGCCCGTGCAAGTGTAGTCTACGTCCGGCGTGTTGGTACCTAGACGATTTTTCTGCGTAAAATAAGTTCTATTAACAATATAAGATAATTTCGCTCCGCTCGCCGAAATCAGGACTCCTCCTTGAATTAGCACTGCAGCGGCTTGATGTTATTGTCCCACAAACCCTTCAGTTCGAATGTCGGGCAGCTGCGTCAGATACTGAGTAATGTCTTCCTCGCAACAACTTTGCTTTTAATAAGACACTAGGAGGCAGTTGGCTGTTTTGGATGTAACCACACAAAGGTACGCCCATAGTAACTTCACAAGTGTCATTTTCCGAGAGAGGATTTAATATCGAGATCATTCGATATCATAGCAGTCGTGCAGTTCAGAAAGAATGCAGCATTCAAACTTTCTTCTACTGTGCTCATTAGCATCATTAAAGCAGTGACAATCTCCTTACGAAGGGATGAGCTAACTTCTCTTGGTTATTTCGGTATACAGAGGAGTTGGCCTCGACAATTCGATGATGCCCCACTACAACTTGGGGATCCTCCTCCTCAACAAAACAGACAAACACGTGAGGTTTCCGGCATAAAGTAGAATTGGCGACCACCATAATCCGAGTCGGAGATGAAATTTGAAGTATGAAAATGACTATAAGTTTGACGGTCTCACTATCATGACTACTGATAGTGGTCATTTCTTGAGGGCCTGGCGGAGTGGGAAGCAGAGGATATCGCCAATACTTACGTCTTCTGCTTCTTCATGAGCTTAAGCTATCGATGTCGTTACGTTGGTTAGGTTTGCAACCCCTGACTGCACTAATCAGTACCTGCATAGTAATATTTGTTGCGGCAGTCTTGTCAACTAATCCCGCGGTCTTGGAGGGATGCGGGGAGGTAAACAGGTGATAGCAAATCTTGACTGTGTGTGTCGCCGCATCTACAGACCATGCGATAGATGCGCTGGAACAACGCGCGGAAAGGGGGAGTTAGATCGGAGTGCGACTGGCGTTATCGGGAATGCGCAACCACAATAAATGCAAGCATTGGAGCTATGGCGACTGGTCCGGGTGCAGACGCACATCGCGCCAATGGGGATCCGTGGCTGGGTTGATCTTTATCGGGGCTAGATGGAAGACTGGCAGGCGTTATCGGGATCCTTGTCGCCCTCTATTTTTGCCGTGATATTGGATCCTGGTTAGTGAGCGTTTTGCAGCAAGTGTTGTGGTACTGTCGGAAGTGGTATGGTCGACAGACAAGGATTCCCAAATCAGAAGTCAGGGAAGACGGTTTGACTTGGACAACCTTTACTGCTGGAAGTGCGTACACAAAGCTCCCCAAGCAGTCGCCGCGAGCGCGCTCTCCTAGCAAGTTGTGTGTCTGTGTCTGTCGCTGAGGTGCTCAGACCCAGCACGTGTGTGCGCCTTTCGTTGTCTCAGGGTCCGCCAGCCAATCAAAAGAGGGCCAGCGTTGATTGCGCTGGAGCTCTCGCGAGGCTAGGGACAAACCTCGTGCGTCCCAGCAGCGACTTGGCAGGGGGTGTGGGGCGGGCAGAAGGGCAGCGTGACAAAGCGCGGAGATAAAAGGAGGTGAGGGCTGCCACAGTGCTCCCAACCAGACCGAAGGAACTGCTCATGTCTAAAAACATGAGTAACCAACCGGTCAAGAAAATTAACCCGGGGTCCACTACGCGTGATAAATGAAGGAGGTAGAGGGGAAGAGTGAGTATGACTTGCGGTTACAGTGTTGGAGGTTGATGAGGGGGTAGTTGCAGTTGCGGGTTTCGGAAATGGGTGTAGAGGAAGTATACGGAACGGAGGGATGTAGGGTCGAGGAGGGGGGACAGGGGGTAGGGGATCACAGGGCTCATTCAGAGGAGTGCCCGGGACGGCAACTTTGAGACGATCCACGCTCGCAACCTCCTCGTGAGTTTCGCGTTTGATGCGTAAGTTCTTCGTTCCACGAGAGATAACTCCTAAGGGGCCGTCATGTTGCGTTTCCAGAGGCCGGCAGACTCGATCAAATCGAATGTGGACGTGAGAGCACGCTGCCATTTCTTTCTCGAGAGGCAAAAAACCTGCACGGAACCGGAAAAAATGTCCGCATAAACGGCCGGAGGCGGTGCAGGAGGTTGGAAGGATCCTCAACCGCACCTAGCTGGGTTAGCGAGATAATCTCCCCGGACGACAGCGACGAACACTGGTTCAGCTGCGGAACAGTCAAGGCCCGCTTTGAGAGCTGGGCGGATGCCCAACAAGACGAGGGGAAGGTGGTCTGTCCAGTTTTCGGCCATGGCGCGTAGGGAGGCCTTCTGCTGGCGGTGAAACCGCTCGACCATCCCGTTGGCAGCCGGGCGATAGGCCGTCGTCCGGATGCGTGTACAGCCTAAAAGGAGAGGAAAGATCGGAAGGGGTTGGATTCAAACTAGGCACCGCGGTCAGTCGGCATAGTGGAGGGAGCGCCAAAGATGGCAACCCAACAACTGAGAAAAGCCTCGGCCACCGTTGGAACAGCAAGTTCAGGCGGGGAATGACTTCAGGTCACCGGGTGAACCGAGTCACGCAGGGGAGGAGATAGGAACGGCCTTTGAGCAGGGGCATAGGGCCTATGATGTCCAGGTGGACATGACTGAATCGTGTATCCGGAGTAAGGGATGCGCCGGTGGGAGTTTTGTTGTGCCATTGAACCTTATTCCATTGACAGCCGATACACGCCCGTGTGCATGCTTTCAGGTCCTTGTGTATCCCAGGCCAGACGAAGCGGTCAGGAACCAGCTTGTCGGGAGCTCGACTCCCAGAGTGAGAAAGGTTGTGTAGGGACGAGAAGACTTTACGGCAGAGGGATGGCGGCAGAAAAGGACGGTGGGAACTAATGGAGACATCGCATAGAATGGTGCCGTTGCCAGTAGTCAGTGGCAGGTCCTGGAGTTGGAGTCCGGAAACGTTCTCGTCACAGAGCGAACCAACACGGCGTTGTTCGGCAGCCATCACCCCAAGGTAGATCCCGGGAGAACGTTGGAGATGTGCTATGGAGAGCTTGGACAGTGCATCAGCCACCTCATTGCGTGACCCGTCGATGTGGATGATGTCTGATGTAAACTGCGAGATGTAGTCCAGTTGGCAAATTTCTCCGGGGTTAAGCTTGTTAGAGGTGGGCTTGAGAACGAAAGAAAGGGCTTGTGATCCGTGAATACTGTGAAGTCCCTGCTCTCAAGGAAGTGCCGGAAGTGTTTCACTGCGAGGAAGACAGAAAGGAGTTCCCGTCCAAATGTTGTATAGCGCGTATCGGCAAGTGACAACTTTCTGGAAAAGAAGACTAAGGGTTGGGAGTAACCTGCAAGGTGCAATTGAAGATCCGCGCCTATTGCAACATAGGAGGCGTCAACCATGAGGGAAATGGGTGCATTGGGAGAAAAATGCGTCAGAAGAATGGCGTCAACTAGGGCAGCGCGGGCTTCTGCAGGCAGCCCGAACGATCCTTTTGAGCCCCAGAGGACGCTCGTGAGCGGCAGGAAAGTGTCGGCGCAGAGCGGAAGGAACCGGTGGTATAAATTTACTATAGCCAGAAATCGCTGCAGAAGAGGAAGGAGGGAAATCACGGATGGCCGCAACCTTCGAGAGAAGGAAATAGATGTCGTGGTGGCCGACCAGATGACCGATAAATTCTAGGGAGGGAACACCGAAGACGCACTTGGACGGGTTGACAAAAACGCCAAATTGTCGAAGTCGTCCAAACAGCGTTACAAAGGGCTCCATGTGTTCTTCGGCGGTGGAGCTTGCTACCAGAATGTCGTCGATATAGGCGTAGTCAACTGGGAGGCCGAGGAGCACTCTGCTTACGAACCTCTGAAAGTTCTGTGAGGCATTATGGACTCCGAACGGCATGCGTACGAACTCCAAGAAGTCAAAGGGGTTGGTGACATTCGTCTTCAAAACGTCTTTTGGGGCGATGGGAATTTGGTGGAAAGCACGGACCAGGCCAACCTTCGAAAACACTGATTTGCCGAATAGGGTACCGGCAAAATCCTGAAGATGTGTAACATGGTAGCGGTTCGGGACAATAATGTTGTTCAGGGGCCTGTAATTGCCGCAGGGGTGCCAGTCATCAGTAGCGGCCTTTGGGACCATGTGGAGGGGTGAGGCCCATGGGCTTTCAGACTGACGGGTGATGCTCGAACTCGGCCTTGGCGGCTGCAAGACGTGCAGGCGCGAGACGGCGGAGCCGAGAAAACACGGGAGGGCCAGTAGTCCGGAGCTGGTGAACAACGTCGTGTGGTGAAATAGAAGCGCTGAAGATGGGACGAGTGAGGCCAGGGTATTTGGCGAAATGGATTCTTGGGTTCAGGACAGCGAGTTGACGGGAAACGTCAGGAGAAGGGATTCCCCGGACGCCTCATTGCGCCATTGTGGATTATGGAAATAATCATGATTTGCAAATTCTATATTAGAAACCGCGAATTTTGTGTGCGCAATAAAGAGGAAAACAAAATAGTTGACTATCAGTTTTATTAAGCTGACATGCTACTTTAATATGAATTACACTGACTATCAAAAGAAACTTCTGACGGCTTCGGTCACCAGCAGGGCAAACACTAACGGATCACGTACCGACAGAATCATTCTCTTCGCTCCTTAATCAATGATAAACGTGGATGAAAGCGGATGAAAATATACATACGGATGTTCATGGATATGATAGTCCTACTAGTGCTACTTTATACATAGGGAGTCAAAACATCGGGGTGGTGTCACAATGCCCAACAGAGTAACTTCTATTTAACGAAAAAAAGATTAGAACGCAGAAGCCCAGTAGGTACTTAAGACTGTTTGGGAATTGAAAAAGATATTCTTTGAAATAAAAACACGCTTTTGTTTTGCATAATCTTTGGAGAAAACGTAAATTTCTACCAAACGAGTAAAACAACCGAATATCTTAGGGCCTCATTTCTGTAAAATCCATTTGAATTTTAAAAAAAACTTACCAAAAATCAATAGAAAAAACCGCAATACGTAAGCAAGCAGTAAATATGAAGTCTCCGTCTGGATCTGGTATTGGTCCCTAAGGATGCACAATTCAGGGATGAACACAGAGCACTTTCCTAAACTCAAATAAACTTTATATTTGGTAGTTTGCTCAGTTGCCTACATAAACGTGACTGTCGTAAGCGAGTCTCATCGCAGGCCTCCACTCCCTCCTTTCCAGAGTGCGGTAAATGATATTAGAATGAGCCTCTTGCAAGACTTCTGTTTTCATTAGGCGCAATAACCATGTTTGGTTTCATCTTCCCGTGACTGCATGAGTGGCATTCAGGCCGCATTGCGTAGCAATCAAAGGCAAGAAAACAGCATGACCTTCAGCATGACCTTCAACAGCATGACCTTCAGCAGCCTTAAGTTTTACGTGTGATGCGGGCATTAATCCACAGCTCACCGAAGAGATGCTTGCTGAACAGTTTGTTGTTCTAAAGTTAAACTAGTTGGTCGATGCTCTTCGAAAGTACCTGCGCCGGGCGTTTCATACCCTCAGACTCCATTTACTGTTTTGACCCCAATACAGCATGACTGGGTGAGTCGTATGCTGGTAGCAGTCTGCGCGTACTGTGGGTGACGAAAATATATTGGCTTGAGACGTCTTGCGCTCACTCATAGCCTACGATGAGGGTAGAGGTCGGTTGAGTAAACATCATATGATCAGAAGTCAGCGTGTGTCTGGCTTTTGCTGTGGAAAAGGAGCCGCTTTTAATTGGTCAATGCTGCCCCTAATATGCAGAAATCAGACTGCACGATTAAGAGTACGCATTCAGCCCCGGATAGTCAGCTATGAAGCGTTGGCTTACTGGATTGATTAATTGCATTCTGCTTGGGACCACCTCGAACGGTCTGTGTTTTTTGATTCGACAAGTTTAATGCTTTAAGACCCCATTTTTCAGCATGTACATTTGACGGCGGATATTTCTGAATCCTACTGTAATGATTAACACTAGCAGTTAGCCCACAAACAGGAAGAATTATATTGCTTAAGTAAATGAAAAAATTTGCATAAAATTACATTGTGTATAGATGGATGTCACTTGCTTGAAAGTTTTACTATCTGTCTTTGTCACCAGAATAACCCATCACAAACTTGGAAGCAAAAATAATACTGATAGATGAACGACTACTTGCTTGAATCACTTGGGTTTTTGAAAGAAGGCCTGCCGCTCGACAACGTATCGGCTGAAACTCGTCAATACATAACTTAAATGAAGAGTAGAAAGCAGACGGCCCTTTAAAATCACTCTGAAAATCAATTCAGAGCAGCAGCGTCATTATTTAGGACTAAGAGACTTCTGAATGGCAATGGTTGCTTAACAATCCACTAATGAAAACAAAAAGGGGTGAAGTTAGCGCATAAAATACTTTAAATCAAAAGAGCGGAGGGTTGTTGGGGCAAGCTTGGGTTAAGCACGTAGCCTGACTGTTTGCACAGACCGATGTTTTCTCGCTGCATGTAGGCTGCTTCCAACTATCACAAGGTCCCAGTTGTTTGTGCCTGAACAAACACAGGAAATGATGTTTTGGGAGCAATAGAGTGATCGCTATCAAAAAGGTGCTTTATGATAAAAGAAGGAAGCCAGTTGGCAGGTCCTTAACTGACCTGATCTCTAGTATCCCTCGCCTTTGCCTAGTGTACTGACATCAACTGATGCGTGAGAATTCACAAATATGATCTAAGATGACTTTTAATGGTAAGACATTATCCACCCATGAATCTGAAATAGCCGTTTCGGCACCGCTGAAGATTAGCTGAATTTGCATTGTATGTCTCCACGGTGTTGCACCAAAACTGTTGTTTTATGTCACTTAAAATGTTGTCACTCTTAAAGAATAAGGATATAATGAAGTATTTTTTCGGTACTTACTGTTTCGCGAATTCTGACCGCAAAATGTTGCTGTTATATCAGATGCACTATGCCTTAGGCATCCGGTTATAAGATAGAAGATTATCATATTTGATCCAATGGAAATGTTAGTTGCATGCAGTTGGCAGTGAAAGCCTAATTTAACCGTTGAAAAATGCAATTGTCTGCTTGAATGTTCACATACACATGGATTACAATCGGCGAGCATTCGATATTCTTCAAAAAACGCCTTCAGGGGCAAGTCGTTGTTCTTGCCGTGAAGTCACCGTAGGTGGGCGTTCCTTTTCAAAGTGGAGCTGTCGTTCTTTGCCCAAAAAAATATTACATTGACTTACAGCAGGTGGAACTCTCCACCTAACCTAAGAGCCAGAGATGCCCTTGTTTGTAATCCTCCTTGCCCATTCATATGTTATGACGATGGTGACCGTTAACTGAGCAACCAGAGACATGTAAAAGACTTCGCACTTCTGACTTTCATCTTTGAAATGAAACTGCGGTGGATAGACGAATGTTACTCCCTAAATTCAGAAATCAGGCTATCTATGGTAGGGGGCGCTCACCGATCGTTCTTACGGAACTCACTCTTTCCGTTGCCCCTTACGGGCGCTCTCTCGAGCCAAACCAGCAGCCGCAGAGAGCAGGACACAACGGAACAAATGAGTTCCGTAAGAACGATCGGTGAGCGCCCTTTACCATTGTATATTCCCGATCGAAACCGACAGGGCAACGGCCTCGTCGCCCGGTGGTTAGAGGCGTGGACCTCAAACTAACAGGTCGCGAGTTCGAGCCTCGGGTGTTGCACGCTTCGGGGTTGGGTATGACTGGCTGACGACGTCTAATTAGCCAGAAATGGCCATTCCAGTCTCCCTTGTCTTTGTCGGTAATAACATACTGCCTATACCAGGCATTCCTTTCTGTGCGACACAAGTGTTCCTTTCAGGTGTAGTATTACACTAGTTCGTGAATTGTGTGTAAGCAGCACTACGCATCTAGCTTGAGAAATGATAAATGTGATAACCCCCAAAGGGATTGCTTGACTGCGATTCTGCGGCTTGCATGCGGATGGATCTTTGCTCCTAATAGAAACCCCATTGCTAGTTTCTGTACCCTTTTGTAGTTTAAGTACGAAGTAAACGACGAGTGAATAAGATGGGATGGCTGTAACTCTTAAGACGTTTCTTTTTTTGGAAATAGGCTGTGATGGATGGCCAAACGCTTCGATTTGTAGGCTGAAACCGGGCTTCGCGACCCAAGGCGGGTTTTGTACGTCTAGCACTTGGATGTGAAGTATTGGCTTGCGGGTTGATTCAATGCAATCTGCACATTGTCGGCGTAAATAACCTGTGACTTTCGATTTGTCGAATTGCGCCCAGCATTGCTACTATGTTCCACAGTAAGTGTAGTACATAAACTATCCTATTAAATGTTGAGGAAAATTATGAAGTGTGCATTCGTTCAGAAAGCTCATTAAGATAGCGGTGCGAGAGTGATGTTAATGTAGTGCAACCTCAAGATATTTCAGCTGACTTATGGTGCCTGCTTTTGGATGAACGTGTTTTCGGTCACGGGAATAGTTTGTGTTTAGTACTGAAAACTATTTAACCGGCTTTATTTCTTCCAATTAGTCTTCGATGCAAGTAAAAATTAAACATTATTTCACAAATAAAGTTATTTATCGCAGTTTTGTGATAGCAAATTTCGTTCGTTTGAGAATATTTGCATTTTTAGAATTTCCATAGACCGAGAAATTTCCATTAAATAATCATCGTATATGTCTGTTGATAAAGGCTGTCTATGAAATACACAACAAGGTACGCGCCCATGGCAAAGTTTAGAAAGCCCTATTTGGCCTCGTCTTAAAAACTGGAAGGGTGTATGATTCACCGTGCGCGCAAAGTACACGGAAAATGTACTTTCTCATAAAATGTTGATTACGATGCTGAAGTGCATTTACAATTCGAAAGGATTACTTAAGTTGTATTGTCATGTTAATTACCATGTCGCAGAATACCAAGATTGTCCGATAACGCCAAGATGCCCGTTTTCAAAAGGGCTCCATATTGACCACTTGCGTAAGCCACATTCCGTAAAAACTGGCTATTTAAGTAGAACTAATTTCACCATTTCTATAGTGTTTTAGTATATTATATACAAATTATACATATAATTATTCCTTCTTCTGGCCATTTAGCAGCAAATTACGTCTTTTTTAAAGTTTATATTTGA